ATGGAATATTACTCAGCCATTAAAAAGAATTCATTTGAATCAGTTCTAATGAGATGGATGAAACTGGAGCCCATTATACAGAGTGAAGTAAGCCAGAAAGATAAAAACCAATGCAGTATACTAACGCATATATATGGAATTTTAAAAGATGGTAACGATAACCCTATATGCAAAACAGAAAAAGAGACACTGCAATTGTCTTCTTAGCCAGAGTTCTCTGGATCATTGAGATGTGGTTCCTTTTCCGCCTTAGTTTCCTCTTGTCCTGTGATCAAGCCACACATACCTATCCCACCCCAAACAACTCCCACCCTCTCTAGCAGTGTCTTATTTCCTAAGATAAATGTGTTGATAAAGCATTTTGTTGTGCTTCGAGTGAATTAAAAAACAGATCTAATTACTAGAAACATGCGCAGAAGTGCCATGTATATATTCCTCTATTTGCTCTGAACTTAGGGGTCCTCTATAAGTGATTAACTAGAATCTTCGTAATATCTCCTATCATGCTGGCCTAAGCCAACAAGTAAGCAACAGTAAGCAGCAGAATAATGAAGGTGAGACGTGTAAGTTTTGGGAAAGCCATATCTCACGGGAGCACACAAGTGCCTCATGGGTAAATTCTGAAGGACAAGCACGGATTGATGTCTCTTGGATTGGACGCCGAAGACAGTGAGAACTCTGGCCTTCCCTGTCCTTTAGGAAAAGCGGTGCCTATCTGAGCTGCTTCCAATGTCAAAGGGTAAAATGGGCTGAGGGGAAAGAGAGAGATGAGTACTCCAGAGTTCAGAAGTGAGCCTATAGGTCAGTTTCCTCCAAACACGTCCCTAACTCACCAGCAGACTGGAGCAAAGCCCTGGGAAGGAGAGAAGGCTAGTTCAGCCACATATTAGACTCTAGTGACATGTGAATAGCCATAGCTAACTCATAGCTACATAGAATATAATGTGTACTATGTGCTGTTCTAAGGGCATTGCATGTATTAAACTTATACAATGTTCACAAAATCCCTATCGTAAAACATTTTTGTTATTTCCTTTTGCATATGAAGACACTGAAATTTAAGAGATATTAAGTAAGCCCAAGGTCATATTGCTAATAAGAGGTAGGAAAAGGATTCAAACCCTGGATGTCTGGTTCTAGAATACAATATACTATACAATATTTTCTAGATAGTTCTAAAACTTGGAATGAAGGATGTGGGGAGATAGGACCAATCTTTACAGGAACTTAGGACAATGCCACAGAGAATCACATGAAAGACAGACTTTCTACAGTCATAGGTCACCCAACACTTTCACAGAGAGTTCCAAACTCCCTGGAAGGAATTGTGAAAGGGATAGGGATTAACAACTACTCTGAAACCACTGGAGAGAATGGCCGAAGAAATTAAGTGACTCAATCATCTTACAAGTTGGATGTTAAAAATCAGATTTGGAATAAACTCCTCGAAAAAGAAAGCAAACCTTACCTTGAACCTCCAAGCCACGGACTATGGAAAGTAGCTCTGAGCCCCTAATTTCATTGATTATTAACTTAGTTTAAGAGACACTTCACCTCCCTTCACAACCTTTCCCTCTTCCATACCATTTTAACCCTAGCAACCTTACCCCCAATCTCACCAAAACAAACAACAAACATAAAAACCAAACAAACACTGAAAATGAAAACTGCTTACAGGTCATTTGTATATAAAAACCCTTTATTGACAAAGTTTTGGAGAGAATCTATAACTTAATAATTTAATATTAGATAATCACTTTTTTAAAGGAAAAGAAAGGAAGAAAGCATAGAAGGAAAGATGGAGATGGGAAAAAAGAAGGAAAGAAAGAAAAGAGAGAGATGGATTGAAGGGAAACAAGAAACAAGGAAAGAAGGAAACACTCTCAACCATTTTTTGATAGTTCTGCCTCTTGCCCTGATTCTGGGCCTTACCTCCTTCCCTATCTCTACTGTTCTGACATAAGAACCAATTCTACTGATTTCTTTAAAAAGAACAATTTGGTTTTCTCTTATCCTCATATACAGACCCACTTATGCATAACCAAATTCAAGTTGCTTAGTTCAACAAAAAGTCCTTAATGCTTATATGATACATTCTCCTTTGAAGGCAATTGTTGCTATAAATAAATAAATAGCAGCCCCTTACAGTTTCATAGGAATTAAACATTTAAAAATAAATTTAATCACTAAATCCAGCATAATTTGTATACACTAAAACAAGGATGCTTTATGCTTCCAAATTACACAGAATACACCCCTCTATTCATTTGGTTTCACCATTTCTCAAATTTGACTTCTGGTATGTGTTTGAGACTTTATCTTATACTTTACCTTAATCCTTTATCAACTTACATCAAACCAATTAACACAACAGTAGGGGACCAAAAATGGGACCCGGGATGGCAATCTGAATTCCCAAAAAAATCCACAGAGGGCTCAAAACACTTTTTCACATTAAATTTTGCCTATGGCACGCTGCAGTTCATGAGGTTGCAAAGAGTCGGACATGACTGGGCAACTGAACAACAATCCGTTGTTAGGCCAATTAAAATCATCACTTATATTAACTTTGATATTCTAAATAGAGAAGTGACCTATGAAATAAAAATATATACAGAAAAATATAACACAGCATCTTTATCCATATATTTGTATTGATACTTGCAAGAGGAAGAGGATAAATGTGGGATGGGTCGCGAGTAGGAAATGAGGGAGGAAAGAGAAGGAAATAACAAATTTTAATGTTTGTTCTAAGCCTGGTCTTGTCCAGTTAAGCTGTAATTGGAGGCACCACCAACTTTAGGGAAGTGGTCTCAATAATTCCAGCAGATGGCAGTGCAGTGTTGCATAACAGGTATTATAGTTATTTAAAAATAAAAACCACCAAAAAACCTTCTTGAACCTCTGGACCCCTTAAGAAGAAAAAAACATACAAATTATCCCTTTTTAGGGTTGAGAAGTAATTATTAAAGTATAGCCGCATGCTCTGAAAATCTCTTTTTAATTTGTGAAGTGAACATGAAACTGTTAGTCACTCAGTCCTGTCAGACTCTTTGTGAGCCCATGGACTGTAACCTGCCAGGCTCCTCTGTCCATGGATTCTCCAGGCAAGAATACTGGACAGGTATTCTTGGATACCAAGATAGGTAGCCATTCGCTTCTCCAGGGGATCTTCCTGAACCCAGGGATCGAACCTGGGTCTCCTGAATTGCAGGCAGATTGTTTACGGTTTGAGTCACCAGGCAGTTTTTAATTTAGAGACAGAAAAGGCAACCCCAAATCCCAGCAGTCCCCAAAGTTCCAGACACCTCTGTGGATCCTCTCATCAAGATATTTATTACTGTCAGCTTATGCATGGTTTTGCACTGGCCTCAGGAACTGGCTTCCCTTGTGGCTCAGCTGGTAAAGAATCCCCCTGCAATGTGGGAGACCTGGGTTTGATCCCTGGGTTGGGAAGATCTCCTGGAGAGAGAAAAGGCTACCCACTCCAATTTTCTGGCCTGGAGAATTCCAGGTCACAGAGTTGGACACGACGGAGCCACTTTCACTTTTAGGAATCGACTGGAGCTCCAGGTAGCTGCATAAAGCAGCCTCCCCACATCCTTTCCCCTTACTCCCCAGCTTCTTCCCATGAAGACAGAAGAGGCTGTTTCCAACCCACTCAGTTCCATACTGGAGTTCCTCAGAATCACCTCAAATTTCTTTGGCCATTCATGAATTCTTCCTCTCCTAAGCTCCAGCGTATGCAGTGCCCTTAGCCCCAGGTCAGCATTGAAAACCTCTTGTGGTTGTTTTCACCTGTGTTCGTTTCAATTTACCAATTAGTCGGTACACCTGAGACCACTGGACAGGGTAGTACGTGTGTTTTTAATTCCCCGCTATATATAACATGGTGCCAGATTCCAAGGAGGTGCTTAATAGTTGTGGTTGATTAACTCCTCTCACCAACTCTTAAAAAGTTTGTCAGCATGCCATCTGATTTTCAGTCACACCCGGTGAGTTAGAAGCCAGCCATTAGAGCAGGTTAAGACTCTAGTGGGGGACTTCTGCTCCTGGCCAAATCCTGGTGCAAGGTTTTCGTGTTAAGTAAAAGCAGCTGGTTTGGTCCCTGTAACTGAAACCCCATCTTTTCACACATGAGGCACATGTGCTCCACATTTTCCCAACTTTCTAGGGTTTCCTTGCATGGGCAATGCCCCATGCCTGGGCCTGGGCCTGGGCTTAATTTGAGCACAACACAGTTATTTAATTAAACTAGTCTCAGTTCAACATAGTTGTATCATTTTTACATTCAGGCATCAATCTAAGTTTTATTTAGTGTATTTCTACCGGCTCTTCTCTTTGCCACTTTCATTCCCTTTCCCAAACCTGCCCCATGATACTAATACCCTGGAGGTCCTGCTTCTTATACAGGACACTTCTCATCAGGGGTCCTATTTTGGCCCACTGAATTGGGAACATCCAACGTATCCTACCTTGGGCTCCCCTGGTGGCTCAGGTAGTAAAGAATTTAGCCGCAGTGTGGGAGATCTGGGTCTGATCCCTGGGTCAGGAAGATACCCTGGAGAAGCTAATGGCAACCCACTCAAGTATTTTTTGCCCAGAGAACCCCATAGACAGAGAAGCCTGGTGGGCTACAGTCCATGGGGTTGCAAAGAGTAGGACCCCACTGAGCGACTAACACTTGCACTTTCATCGTATTCTATGCATTCTGAGTGCGAAACTTCAAGCAAACCTGACCTTCATTAGCCCCACACTTGCTGCATTATAATTCTCTTTAGTGGCTGTTTCCTTTGTTCTTTTTTGTTTGTTCATTTGTTGTTTTCACTCATTCATTCACCAAGTATTTATTGAGTGACTATGGATTAGGCACTGGACTCTGGCAAGTCAGTCAGTATGATCTCTAGCCTCAGAAAGCTTGTGGTTAGAAGACACACAAATCAATATGGAATTATAATTAAAATATGTTCTCTGGTGAGAAAGAGCAGGGTGCTATGAGAACGTGTTGTGCGGGTGGTGACAGTGTGATAAGTAATTTGTGTGCCTGTGTGCTCAGTCATGTCCGACACTTTGGGGACCCCATGGACTGTAGAACACTAGGCTCCTCTGCCCATGGGATTCTCCAGGCAAGCATACTGGAGTGGGTTGCCATTTCCTTCTCCAGGGGATCTTCCGGTCCTGCAATGGCAGGCAGACTCTTTACCCCTGTGTCACCTTGGAAGCCACCTGATGCGAAGAACTGAGGAGATGTAAGAGATTCAGGTTCAGTCTCTGGGTCAAGAAGATGCCCTGGAGGAGGGCATGGCCACCCACTCCAGTATTCTTGCCTGGAGGATCCCATGGACAGAGGAGCCTGGCGGGCTACAGCCCATAGTGTCGCAAAGAGTCAGACATGACTGAAGCGACTTTGCACATAGGCATGCAAGCTTCAGGTAGATAGATCACATGGGGGCTAGGAAAGGAAGAGGTTTAGCCTGCAATTCAGACATCTGAAGGAAGCCCACAGCAAGAAAGGGGTCCCCATCAGCCTGTAGGTAATGATGTGGCCCTTTGCTATTTGACACTGACTACCCGCAACCTCGGCTAGCATGAACAAATTGTTCTTGCCAAATTTAGTTATTCCTTGACAAGTGAAGGAAGACATGTCCTGTCAACACTATCTCAAATGGCTTCATCAGGAGTGGAGGCAAAGAAGTAAAGAACTGTAGATGCTAGGACAATGGGTACTTCAAGCATATTTTACTTTTCTTTCTGATTTTGTCTATGTTTGGAAAGTTTCATTATTAGTAAAATGTTTTAAACATTTCTCTTTATGTCATTATTTATTATTTTCCTCACTGCTCCCACCAAATGTTTCTCTGTTCTAATGGGACAAAACCCCAGTCATCTTGTACTGGGAGCTGCTATGGCAACAGGTATAAAAATGCATGGTTTGGCAGGGTTAAAAAAGACTCAAAACTTTGAAGTATAAGATGAGAAACTCGGATATCTATCTTGAATTCACACTATTTCATGTCAATAAGCAGTTTCTGAGTTAGATCTATTGGGCCCAGGAAGGTGAGTGCCAAATAGATATCATCATCTTCATCATCACGGGGCAATGGTGTAGGAATTTCAGAAGGAACGCACTTCCTGGCTGAGTAAGCATGACTTTGGTCACGCACAGCATGCTCCCCAACCTTTTCCATGTGCCCCCACATGCAAATGCTCCCAAAGAGGAGTCTGAATCAACAGACAGCAAATTAAACCACTAAGACTGGAAGTAGTGGTCTTAATAGAACCAGACTCTTAGGAAGTCTTGGAAATTTCCAGTCCAGGGTCTTCTCATCTGTACTCACTGGAAGACTGAAGCATAATCTAAAGGATTCTATCTGCCCAAGGAAGGGCTTATTTCCAAATGGTGCAGTGACTACTGAGTCAGAAGTCATGGGACCTGAGGCCTCAGTTTCCATGTTCCTGAAAGGGTGAAAAGATAGGGATTATTATGGATTATTATTATTATTAATTAAGGGATTATTATTATTATGGGGACTAAGTAAGACATTGTACAGGAAGTGCTTAACACAGCAGCTAACACATTGAAGTACTCAATAAATGGTTTTGGCATTTGTAAATTATTTGATTACTTACCACATCTTTATACGCCAGTGACATCTTGGCTTGACCCCAGACAGACCCATTCATAATCCAATTCAAACCCCTCGTGCAGGGGAAAAATGTTTTCCAAACATGACTACAAACTCATTTTATTATGCTTTTGAAATAAGAAAATATTATCATAAATATCTGATCTATTAGTGAAGTCACAATCTGAAAAAAAAAAGTCAAAGGGTACAGTGTTTCTACAGAAGTTACATATTTCTTTTGCTTTTTTAAATTCAATTTCAAAGTAGAACTTGCAGTGATATAAAGAAATATTTAAGATGTAAAATCATCCCACCACAATTTTGTTCTTGATTCCACAAAACAAACACATCATTCTCATGAATCTCTCCATTTTAAAATAAACAGTATAGGCACATGGAACATAACAGTAAAATTTTGTATAGATGACAATGGCAACCTCTAAAATCTACATTTTCCTTACTGGTTTTCTAAAAATGCTGCTCCAAAAAGAAAAATAAAATGCAAATGTATTTAAGTATAAAGTCAGAATATCCCAAATATTTTATACAAATTTTTTAAAGCTCTGATCTCTATGCTCATTTTTCATGAATATTTATAATACTTTAGAGAAATTACATTGCAGAACAAGATAAACATAATTTTACTGTGACCATCATAGGAAAAAACATGTATAAGAATATTTATAACTCTTCATATTTCAAACAATCTTTAGGTTTGAAGATTTAAGAAATGACATTTAGTATAAAGCATTATTCCAAACACATACAACTTCATTTTAACTTTGACTGTTTACAGATATTTTCCAAACATTTCTTTTAAGTGGCAAATGAAAAATAAAGTGGTTTCACAACGAAATCTTCAAACTAAGTATAAAAATAACAGGAAAAATTCAAATTTCTCTTTGGAAAACACCTATGAGATACTAGCTTTCTGCCATCAAATCAAGTCAGCATTTCATTCTGAAAGCACTGTATTAATATGTAATTTTAAAAATAATCCAGTTACAAAGACTCATGCTGAATATACTCAGTCAACCTGGGTCCCCTTCATGGCTGTGTTTTTTCTTTCAGTACCTGTGTCCAGGCATTTGTAAGCCCTCTCTGGGGACAGTGGATTGAATGACCTTCAGGGTCAAAATATTTCCTTGAGGTTCAGACTTAAATTTTTTTTTTTTTCTTTTTTTTTTTTGGGCCACAGGGCTCAGCACGTGGGATCATAGTTCCCCAACCAGGGATCGAACCTGAGGCCCCTGAATTGGAAGTGTGGAGTCTTAACCACTGCACCTCCAGGGAAGTCCCCAGATTTAAAATTTTTAATTAGTTAAAATCTCCTTTCAAATGTATAACTTGCCCCTATTTATAAGTGCAGCATGATTTGGGATTCAGGATTATAGTTCAGAGGACTTAAAATGGTTAGGCACAGGCTGGGGGTCTGACCTCTCTCTTATCTCCCCATGCCCTCCCTCTTCAATCTGAAGACCCAAACCATAGGGAGCTAGGGAACTTGGAAGTGAGATAACTATTCTAATCCAGTGACTTAAGGTGTGTGAAAGAGTTCCATGAACTATAAAACAACACACCACTAGCCTTTTTAACTTTGTCCTTCCTCTCTCCTGACCAAAGCTACAATTTGTGAGAGGGCCATAGTGCTGAGGTTAACTCCCAAAGCCTTCTCATTCAGCTGAAAATGTCCACCAAGTTTTTAATGATTATTTATAAAGAGATGTAGAGCTGTGGACACTGGAACAATAATTGACACAGGGAGAAAGGAATCTCACTTTCAGAACATCTCTAGAATAATATTTTTCAGGCAAGACTCTCACCCTGTTTTGGGTAATGATGAAGTTAAATGTCTGATCTGAAAAGAAAACTCTCATCAGAGACCTGCTGATTCAAGAATTCAATTCCTGCCCAGCTGGAATGTTGCCAACATTTTCCTGTTCCTAACAGGAATGTCTACAGTTAAAATAAGTGCTTTATTTCTGAAGGGAAAAAAAGGGAAATGTTAGTGTTAACATTTCTGGTAAGATATAGGAATCACCCACGTGACTTTGTGTGTTCTATCACTTTAAAGTATCATAGATGATAGCAACAGACATGAGCACCTGGTCGGAGGAAATGAGCTTTCAGTGGTGGTGGAAGGTGAGGATGCTAAACCTTCTTCCTAGTGGAGCTTCTCATTAGGATGTGAAACTGAATGCTTAAAGAATAGTTAGATTCTTCAAAAGGGAATAAAATGGAATGCCCTCTTTTCCAAACAGCATAAAGAAACCTACATGTCAATGCTTCCAGCTTACCTTCTAACTGAAGAAGGAAGGTGGAGGGACAAAGAGTTTGAAACAAAGCTGTTCCAGTGTTATCTGCTTTAGTCATATGCTGAAATTACCCCTGTTTGCAGGAAATTATATCAGTTGTGTCCTAACATTCTCCATGGTGTGATGCTCTTTGAGTTCAATTGTGAATATAAATCCCAAATGGGGAAACTCTAAGCCGGTCCAGTTTGCTTTGTTATTTGCTATTTCCCCCCCCCCCCCCCCCCACAAACATATTAATAAAACAATAAATTTCCTTGGAAGGCAATGCTTCTGCCAAAATAAAGTCCTTCAGAAACATATACAATCCAGTGTCCCACCTCTCTCAGTCCTGAAGATTCCTAGGCTCAAGGCCATTGGTCATGAGGGGCTGGAACCAAGCATTGCTAGAGTCACAGATTCCCCATCTTTCTGATCTAATTCTCTTGCTACAGAATAAGCCACCGAGCCATTGGTCCATAGCTGTAGCTTGGGATCTGATTCTTTGGCAAGGAACCGCAGCTGGGTTTTTTTCATCTTCTTTACAACTCTAGCAAAGCCAAGCAACAAAGAACTAAATATCATTGAGAATCCACAGAGAAGGAATGCTGCAGTGTAGCTGCCAGTCGTATCTACAAGCCATCCTGTAACAAGCAACAGCAAAATGATACTGTTGAGTTAGAAATTTGACTATTTACTCACTCAAATCTAATAATTTGTGAGGATAATAATAATAGATTGCTAGCACCATCACTATCATTTTGACACAAAAAGTAGATCTAAAAGTATTTTGCAACAACTGTAAAATGCATTCTATTTTCTAGAGAAACTTCTAAAATAGATTGTTGTTATTATGTAAAGTGCTTGGAAGTACCACATTCTATATAAAGAATGATATTATTCTTATTACATAATGAATATTAGTTATTATTAATTCTATGAAATATGGTAGAAAGGATAGAAAACATCATTCAAATTACAGAGGTTAGGATTATCTCTTTATCTAGAGTGTTAAGAGAATATAATTGTACAGAACCCTAGTAGTAATGTTCCCAGCACCCATATACATTTAACTTGAGTAACAGGACATGCTCCTAGATAAAGCAGAATCCAAATTTCCTATTAGATCCAGACATTTTACCCGATCCAGTTTGAAAATCAGATCGTTGGGCCATGTTAAAGTTTCAAATGCAAATTTCAGGAAGCATAATTCTGTAATCACAGCTTTTTAAAATTTATCTGTTGTTGCAACAAATTAACCATAATATCGACTCCCGCTCTAAATTTTGAGGAGAACCAGAGCATGTGATATGCAAAATATAAGTCCCAATAATCAGGGACTCAATGGGGTAAAATTAGACATTGGCAGGAAATTATTTTGTAATTTAAAAGGTTTTTAAAGTTCCCCTACTTTACTCATGTGCCAAGAAAATCCACCACAGAAGTATATGCCTTCTGCTCTCATCTACTTCAATAATTAGTCAAAAATAGCATGCAAAAATTATTAGAAGTGCCATAAAGTTTCCTACAATCCAAAGTGAAAGTGAAGGTTGCTCAGTCATGTCTGACTCTTTGTGACCCCATGGACTATATAGTCCATGGAATTCTCCAGGCCAAAATACTGGAGTGGGTAACCTTTCCTTCTCCAGGGGATCTTCCCAACCCAGGGACTGAATCCAGGTCTCCCACATTGCAGGTGGATTCTTTACCAGCTGAGACACAAGGGAAGCCCAAGAATACTGGAGTGGGTAGCCTATCCCTTCTCCAGTGGACCTTCCTGACCCAGGAATTGAACCGGGGTCTCCTGCATTGCAGGTGGATTCTTTACCGACTGAGCTATGAGGGAAGCCTACAATCCAAACTACTCTCAAATATTTTAGTTATGTGATTTACTTGTGCATTTCTTTAGCGGCAAACAGGAGACTGAGTAAAGAACTGTCATCTTAAAAGTCATTAAGTAAGAGAAGTATTACAACAGGAACTCACACACTAATCCTCTAATACCTAGCAGTGAGTACAATGTCTGATATGCCAAATGCTGGAGAAGACTCTTGTGAGTCCCTTGGACTGCAAGGAGATCCAATCAGTCAATCCTAAAGGAAATCAGTCCTGAATATTCATTGGAAGGACTGATGCTGAAGCTGAAGCTCCAATACTTTAGCCACCTGATGCACTGACTCATTGGAAAAGACCCTGACGCTGGGAAAGATTGAAGGCAGGAAGAGAGGGGGATGACAGAGGACCAGATGGTTGGATGGCATCACCAACGCAATGGACATGAGTTTGAGTAGGCTCCAGGAGTTAGTGATGGACAGGGAAACCTGGCGTGCTGCAGACCATGGGATCCCAAAGAGTTGGACATGGCTGAGCAACTCAACTGAACTGAACTGATGCCAAATGAAGGCCACAATTTGACAAAAGGATCCAGGAATCCTCATTTATGTTCCATGACTGTTTAACAGAATCACAGTGTTCCTAAAGGTTGGTAAATACAAAAACTGGCTATGGAGGGAGGATGTGAGATCATATGGGGGTATTTTCCAAAACTGAAGCACCAAACATATCATCCTATATCATGGAGTTTAAACTGACCAGGAATTTTTATCCGTAGCCATCAAGCAGTCACAATTTCCCCTGGTTTGACACTTTAGCAATTGCTGGGTTTGGAAATAACTTGAACTGTTGTCCATTCACAACGGTCATAAAGCAGAAATCCTGCCTTCTTCAAAATATCCCCTTCTTTCCTTCTAGGCAAATGTTTACTTCATTTCTCTTTTGCCTGTCTTCAGAGACCTTCTTCACTCTCAGTTTTAATCTGGACCAATCATTCTCATTCTTTAGTGTACAAGAGCATCACAAGAAAACTGCTTGAGAATGTAGGTTCCTGGAACTCACCCCCAAAGATCCAAATCACAGATGGAGGGTCATGGAATCTGCAGTCTAACAAGGGCCCCAGGGGATTCTGTTGCAGTGATCCAGACCTCATTCTGAGAGACACTGGTCTAGACTACACACCCCAAGAAGGAATGGGTTCTTACCTGTTTGCTGCTATACTGACAGCACCAGACACAGTGCTGATGTACACAGCAATAAATATCTGTTGAATTACTTGTTTAAGGCATGCAATACATATTTCTTGAATTATTTAATGAACTCAATGAATATTTGTGGAATTACTTATTTAATCATGTTTTTAATGTCTGTATCATTTTACAGTTTACAAAACATTCTAGATGCTTTATCTTGAGTCCCAAATCTGTGTATCCAAATCTGGCCCCCCTCTAATGCTCGGATTTCATCCTTAAATACCTTATTGGGTATTTCAGATATCCGAGTATATTTATTATTTTATGGCAAAGCTACTCTCTTTAGCTTCCTTATTTCTTTCAAATGTGCCATCATCTCCTGATATATTGGACTTTTTCCCCTCCTTCATATCCCCACATGCTAAAATCAGTTTATTTCCCCCCCAAATTTTCTCCTTTGACCCCAGAGTTCAATCTCATTTCTGCTGCAGAAGCCATAGTTCAGGCCTATATCAGACGGCTCCTGAATTATCAGAATGAAATTCTAACTGCTTCTCCACTAAAGTACTAGATCATCTCTCTAAAACATATTCTTTATTACTCCTTTGCACAAAAGCTATAATACTTTAGAGACCCATATACTCTTAAGTACATAGGGCCCCAGCTCCTTTAGCAAGCACTGGAGACACTCCACCATGACACCTGTACGTTAATATTTCAGCTCACCATGTGCCTCATCAATTCTACATCTACTGAAATCCTGTATGCGCCCCCCCAGCCTTCCCTCTGAATGTGCCAACTTATATTTAAGTCTGAACAGCTGTTTCATTCCATTGCTCCCATCATTTGTGTGGAACAGAATCAAGATCCTAATTTGGGACTTTTTTTCCCCAAGTACACTAAGGTCCTCCATTAGTTGGAAGAAGATTATAGAGCAAGGATGTAGGTGAGACCATGGTATTTTGGTGACTCGGCTATTCCTTTCTCTTTCATTCTTCACAACTTACTTCCACTTCTCATAGTATGTTGTGTGAGTTCACTGTTTTTACATCAATATGACAAAGAGAAGAGGTGATTGGGGTGGGGGGTTTTCTCTGGAAACTTACCTGCGATGGGTGGGCTCACCAAGTACGGCACTGCATGCAAGAAGTACACCACGCCGAGAGCTGATGACAGAAATGTGGTCCCCACAATCTCTGCGGTCACCACTGGGATCAAAGTCACGTAGGCACCATCGAAGTAGCCAAAGGTACAGGCGAAAGGCACGAGCAGGGGAAGGCTTTGAAGCATTGGGAGGCAGAGATAGCAGAGCCCATCCAGTCCAATGGCAAAAAGGTAGCAAACGTACTGGTAGTTCTTTAGACACCTGTGGATTTGAAGACCAAGAATGAGTGCAGGATTCACAGCTTCTATCAAAGAGCTCTAGAAACCTGGCCATGTGGCAGTAAGCACTTTATTTATAGAGATGGCCTCCCCATTGTGTGCTTTCTACCTTGTCTTCCTATCTTTCTTTTGGTATATGCAATGCAAGAATGTATCTTCCCAGGAAGCACTATGGTAGAAAACAACCCATGCACTAAAATTAGAAAGATAGACGTTTGAATCCAGTTCTCCCATCTACTAACTGCCTAACTCTAACCTCAATTCCTTTAGCTATAAAATGAGAGGTTGCCTATCTCAGAGTTAATCAAGGAAATTTGTGAAATAACACATAGAGTGTCAGGAGACTAATATTTGCTACAAGTCTACCATATTAGATGCTTTCAGATATGTCATCCAGTAGTCTCCAGCTCTTCATATATGTTCAATAACCCAAGGGGTTATACAAAGAGGAAGCCATGACATGAAGAAATGAAAATGATTTGCCAGAGATTGTGATGGTCATGTATTAGAACTAAGTCTTATTTCAAGATCTCCCCAGTGGTACATCCATGAATATTTTCCCTTTGTAAATCCAAACCCATCTATGATAGTAATTATTACAAAGACTCTGTATTATATCAGCATCAGCAATTTATGCTTTATAAATTATGTAATAAAAGCAATTTATGCTTTTCTGCCTGTCATCTCATTTGAGCCTCACAAAATACTATAAAGTCCTTAGGCAAATATTGAACTGGTCCATTTCACAGATGAATACCCCTGAGAATCTGAGAGTTAGGTGACTTTCTCTAAGTCTCAGGGATAATATGGGGCAGAGCCAGGACAAGAACTTGGGTCTTTTATATCTTAGACTAGAAATCCCTCTTTCAGATCTATATCAGGGTGCTTCTTGTTGGGTTATTTGATTGTAAAGAAAGATACCCTTTGCTCTCCCCCACACTCCTTAGCCATTATAAGTGTGGCTTTTATATTTAATCCTAAATATTGTATTCCTGATACTAGTGAATGGCAGTTGAATCCTGATTACCTCCCAAAGACATAACAAGTAAGAAGCCACATGATGATAGAGAGCTCTCCCAGGTCATAGCTCAAGTGTGAAGAGTCTATCATTTAGGAGAATATGAGTAGTTTGCTCTCTTCAATTCAGATTAGCATTAGCTGAAGAAACTACTCAGATTTCTTAAAACACTGGTTTCTAAGTATAAAATTATAATGAAACTATTTGCTACTTGCACTGTCAAATGTAAATATGTGGCACTACAGATAGTGTGTTATTATTGACCTGCTCCTCCTGCCTAGACTGGAGTCTATTCCTCTCTGTTGCCAGCCGGTCTCTGGAGTGGTTGAAAAGACACTAAAACCACAGTGACCAGTCAGAAGTTGTCTTGCTGGAGGACTGACCTGACTTAGAATGGAGTTAAACTTGTCACCAGAACTTGTAACTATCCTTTGCTTCTGCCATTTAGACATACCCATCATTCTAAATGATCTAGATCAGGGGTCACAAACTATGGCCAAATCTGGCCCACCACCTGTTTTTTGGACTATGAACTTAGAATGGTTTTCCCATTTTTGAACGATTGGAAAAAATCTAAAGAACAATAAAATGTTGTGACATGCAAAAACTGTATGAGAAACTAAAATTTTAGTGTCCTTAAATAAAGTCTTATTGCAATATGGCCACTCTCTTTTGGTCATATTGTCTACGGCTGCTTTTGTGCTTCAACAGCAGAGTTGGATGGTTGGGATCATATGACCCACAAAGTCAACGAGACTTTATCTGTTTAATGTCTGTCCCTTTACAAAAAGTTTGCTGACCCTTGACTAGAAGAACCAACAAGGGAGTTGCCTTCAGATATTGAAAACCTGTTAACATTATTTAGACCTAGGTATTCTAGAGGGTAAGGTGATGAAAGGGAAGTGAAAGTCACTCAAATCATGTCTGACTCTTTGCAACCCCATGGACTAGAATTCTCCAGGCCAGAATACTGGAGTGGGTTAGCCATTCCCTTCTCCAAGGGATCCTCCCAACCCAGGAATTGAACCCAGGTCTCCCACATTGCAGGTGGATTCTTTACCAGCTAAGCCATCAGGGAAGCCCAAGGTGATGAAGGGAAACTCAAAGCTTAAAGTTCCTTGTAGGGAACCAGTGGTGGTTTCACAGATTTTTACCTTCTGTCAGTTAGCCATCCAAACGTGATATTGCCAATAATGTCAATCACCCCAAGGATGGACATAAGAAAAGCAGCTTGCTGGTGAGTCACTCCAACACTCAACGCATAAGGCACGAAGTATACAAACAGGGGACTGCAGCCATAAGCCATGAACAGAACAGAGGTGGCCAGCACAGCGAAGTCTGACGTCAGTAAAAAACTGTATTCCTGCTGCAAAGAGCCACAGAGGCAGGTCTGCACCCATTCTTTAGTCCAAGCCGAACAGGGAGACGCCTGCTTCAAGTCTTGTGTCTGAGTTCTGCAGACAGGGTTCTGCTCTGGAGTGGTTTGGTCCTCTTTAAGAGTGATTGGCCGCATCAAGGCACCGCAGACACAGAGGTTCAAAACGAAGCCCCCCAGGATTAAATGATCTCTGGGTAATTTAAGTATTGTTAAATTATTGATAATACTTACATTATTAATAACACTTAAATTACCTAGAGACTTACTTCAACTCTTCACTGAACATGAAGATACAACCCTGATTATCTGGACCACTTTGGAATTTGTGTTTAAATAGCATATGTGATCCTGTAAAAGTTCCAGAGTAATTTCAAATATTAAGAAACATTGTGCTCATTTTATCCATGAACATAGCATGTACATATAGCAACCTGAAAATATCCCCAGTAGAAAGTCTCTTCAAGATTTTCCAGCTCTATTCTTTTTAAGTCAAGAAAATCAGGAAGGCTTTAAACCTGGAATTTAAACGTCAAGGAAGGAAAAGGAGAACTGCCTACAACTCCTATTTCCGTCTTTGGAGCAGGGTGAGCAATGATCCCAGTTTGCCTGGACTGAGGGGTTTCCCACACGTGAGGCTTTCAGCACCAGGCCCAGGACAGTTTCTGGTAAACTGGGAGGATGGGACACCCTAGCGGTCAGGCCCTTTGGGTGAGAGGGGACAGACACCTTTTTAGCTGACACAGCAAGATTTGTAACCTCACTGTGAGATTATATCTTTTATTGGCCAGATCATGCTAGTCCCTCCAACCAACCCTGATCCCCTGCAGTCCCTGTAAGTGTGATTTATGGAATGCACATCGGTTGCTTCTCTTTCTATGGACTTCATTCTCTAACGTCTGTTTTCATAACATTGAAAGAGAATGTGTGATGTAAGAATATTCACAAGAGGCTTTTTTTTTTAAACTGTAAACCTCTATTTATTGGACAACGATACTCACTGAAAAGTAAGGACAACTCAGGTCAACCACAGAGAGTATTTCAATGTCTTGGCAAAGATGTTGGGAGAATGATCATTACTAGAAATTTATGTTGCCCTGGCTATGTTGCTCTGCTTCTGAGTGAAGGATCTCAGCCATACATGGCTGCCCAAGGAAAGTCAGCAGTCCCTATTGTCATGTGACTGAATTAAAGTGGTGACACAGTTTCATTACATATGACAGTCCATTAAATTTCTAGTCCTTTTGTTCAACCGTTTGGTAGGCAGACATTCAGCTAAATTATGCATCCAACCATATGAATATTTTATGAATTACTGCTCTGTGGGCAGGCTTAACAATCCCTGGATAGGGTGGGATGAGAAGGGTGGTACAAAGTGCCCTTACCTGTAAGAACTCCCAGAGTGAGGTAGAGATGCTTCAGACTGGTGGCAAATGAGCCCAGGATGAGACCAGTAGATGCAAGCAAGCCACCCAGCATGATTCCCACTTGACAGGAAAAATGGTTACTGACAACACTCCCAAGTGGAGCTTCAAAAACAATAATAAATAGGTTCAACATAGAGGCCTTGAGGGCACTGTGTAAAGGCTGTGGTTATGCATCAGTGGAGCAGATAACCCTCCATCTTCAAATCCTTGAGCCCACCCCACTCATTCTATGGATTTAGAAACCGAGGCGAGAGGAAATGACTTGTCCATGGTCCTACAGAGAACAAGTGGCAAGGCTAGAATCAGGATCAGGTCTCCTGACTAGCATTTGACTGCTCATTCCATTTCTCCATTCTAGAATGGTCATAATCCCAGGACAATGGGGTGCTTTCTAAACAGCAAGTCAGCTCCTTTAAACGAAGGCCTTGGATAGAATTTAAATACACTGCATCTAATGTGACCCTGATTTAGCTCAACGGTTGCACAGTGATATGCCTTGTATGTTTCACATAATATTGCTCATACACAATTAACAATAATCATGACAGGTAAATGGTGGAGAAGAAAGTGGGCAACATTGCCTGGCCAGCAGTTTCTTATGCAAGAAAAGGCCAGGGAGAGAGATCATAGACATACTTCATAATCTGGCACTGCTTCTGGGCGTTTGGAAACCCTGTGGATGAGAAATGAAAGCCCAGAAAACCTAGGAAATGCGATGATGACATTTCAGTTAGCCTCATTCTATTTGTGGTTTAACAATGTGTCAGAATTATGCCAGCTGCCAGGTTTATAGGATAATAATTAAAGCTGGAAGAGGCCAAAAAGAAACTAAAGTTCAGGGGAATATGACATACCCAAGATCACCAAAAAATATATAGTTCAGGGAACTTGACACTGAGTGCAGTGTTATTTCACCCTATTATTCTGGCTTCTTGGGTCTTTCAGATGGATGGCAGAGGAGATGGGTGGAGAAAGCATGTGAATTTCTTTCTCAAGAACAATTCATGCTGACACCAGTACTTGTGGTAACAAGATCAGAAGAGCCAATTCTCTGGGTATCTGAGGAGTATAATTTTTATATAGATCAGGTTGAAATTGGGGCTTGATTCAAATGTACATGATAGAATCAGTCATCAGCCTAATAGCCTATCTGGTTAGAATAGTAACTGGATGAATATATAACCTCTGGATAATAGGAATGAGCAAATCTTCTAAAAATATATCTAATTCTCCAGGCTGATGCTGTGATGGTTGTTAGAAAGTAATAAGATGTATATGAAACTCAATGAAAAATATTCACTCCTCTGCCCATCATAGTGCAGATATGGCCCCAAGGGATGTCCCAGATGTGATTCTGCAGCCTCTTGTCCATACTCTGAACTCAATTAATGTCGCCAGATGAGCAAGCGGGTATGTAGTAACTGGGTACAAGAGGACTCAAGGCCTTGAATAGAATTTAAATACACTGCATCTAACGTGACCCTGCTTTAGCTCAATGGTTCACATGGTCATTGTGATCACAGTGGCCACTGAAGGCCATTTATTCTTCTTTGGGGGATTATAAATATTCTCCAAAAGATAACAGTGGGAGAAATGAGTCACCTGCATCCTCCATGAAAGATAAACATGGCAGTTCTCTCTGCCATGAGCACGGGCCCACACAAACACAATGACTACTCACCTGACCCTGAAAATCATGTGGTCATCTTACCATTTTAAATTAAAAAGATAGGCTAGAAAGCCCGAGTTATGATTTTTTAATCCCTTCTGACCTTCCAGTTATCAGTAACGTCAACTTAGTGGTCTTGTGAAATCTAGAATTGCACTCAAATTCCTTCCAACCAAGGAACTACATCAGAACAAATCAACCAGTTCCTGATTATGTACATTTTGAAAGTACAACTATGAATCAGTACCTAGAATGGAATAGTGATGCTATTTATGTGTTACTAAACCATATAGTATTTTCTTCTGCCACCAAGATACAGCCTGAAGAGATAACAGTTTTTTAAAATATATACAGGAGTCAATAAATGCAAAGATTAAATTGGTCAAGCCTGTAAATAGATCATTTCAATTTGACCCAATCTCATAAAATTTCTATGACACTCATTCAATAAAATTGGTTGGAAATTTTCAGAAAGAAAAATCTCAAGGTTAGTTTCTCTTTACTGTACAGATGGAATGAGAGACTCCATGAATCTTGAGACCACTCCACACATTATATATAGCACCTTTGTGGTTCTGGAAGGATATTATAGCCATTGTGAATATGCTTATTTATGATTGCAACATTCTATTCTTCCACAATACTTCTCTAAGAATGAAGACTTATGCATGAAAAATGAATCAGTGAGCCAAATTTTGAACCCTCTGGGAAGCAATGAGAGTGAAAACCAAACTTGAGGCGTGATGCACATATTATTAGCACTTATTTAAGGAGACTGCATTAAAATGACTCACAGTGCCTTCTATGGTTGTCTACATGACTGGAAAATAAGGGGACAAGAAGACACAGTGTATAGTGTATAGTTACCTGCATCCAAAATCAGAACAAGTCCTGCGATGCCTGGCTCCCTAACTTTATATGGAAGAACCAAATGGTAAGTATGCAACTGACTGTACTCACCACCTGGTCCATCTGACATCAACCAAGAACATTAATTCCAACAGCATGTCTGGTTGAGTTTGGTTAAAGGCAAGATCATATTTTTCTCTTTACATAGGTTTAGCCACTTTTTACCATAGCCCTTCTACTCAGTAAAACAGGCCATCAAAGACAGTGGAAGGTCACTGTTATGTACAGTTCAAAGGGAGTCAGTAATTGTCTATCCCAGGAGATACTTACCACAGAGCATGGTCACACAGTCTACAATGGAATGGATCCAGGCTGTCTGTGCATAATCCTGAGAGAAGTATGTCTGGAACTCCACAAAAAAAATTGAAATACATCTGAAAAAAAGTGCAAGTATTTTATACAAAAAAAACACAATGAATATAGATTTGAACGAGAACTTCAAGTTTTGATTCAATCAGCTGTTCCAGTATGTAAGGGTTTTAATTGATTTTGATTGATTTTCAATGATACATTGCTGTTCCACAATAAGTGGGAAATCAGAAGCTAACCATTGGACTTTCTAAGGGATAAGAACAAGTGTTCATTCACTAGAGGGGCTGTGAAGCCAAGTAGATGTGAAGATCGCTGCTGTAGGAAAACTCTTATGGAAAAGATGGCAGGTCAAACACATGGATTCTTACTCATCTTAGTGTTCATTAACATCTGTAGCTTATAAGAGATGGCTGTACAAGTTAAGATTTGACAATAAACTGCTATACATCACCCAGAAATTTCACTTCTAGGTTTTAACCAAAGTTAATAAACAGATGATGGTGATAATAATAATACAAAAAAAGATACACATGTATTGTGGATAACTATTTATAATAGCCAAATATTGTCACCAACCTGTTTGTCCACCAGTAGGGACTGGTTTAAAATTAAAACACACTGAAATGAAAAGGGACTGAAATTAAAAGATACTTGCTCCTTGGAAGAAAAGCTATGACAAACCTAAATAGTGTATTAAAAAGCAGACACTACTTTGCCAACAAAGATCCATCTAGTCAAAGCTATGGTTTTTCCAGTAGTTATGTATGGATGTGAGAGCTGGACCATAAAGAAGGCTGAGCACCGAAGGGCTGATGCTTTCGAACTGTAGTGTTGGAGAAGACTCTTGAGAGTCCCTTGGACTGCAAGGAGATACAACCAGTCCATCCTAAAGGAAATCAGTCCTGAATATTCATTGGAAGGACTGATACTGGAGCTGAAGCTCCAATACTTTAGCCACCTGATGCGAAGAACTGACTCACTGGAAAAGACCCTGATGCTGGAAAAGATTGAAGGCAGGAGGAGAAGGGGATGACAGAGGATGAGATGGTTGGATGGTATCACCGATGGACATGAGTTTGAGCAAGCTCCAGGAGCTGGTGATGGATGGGGAAGTCTGGCATGCTGCAGTCCATGGGGTTGCAAAGAGTCAGACAGGACTGAGTGACTGAACTGAACTGAACTGAACTGAGGGGCTGCTTAAGTAACTTATAGCATATCAATAAAATGAAATATTTATTAGGTATTTGATTTGTATTTATTGACTTGGAAATAAATTCACAATATAATGTTAGGAAACAAAGTAAATTACAAAATAGTTCATGTAGAAAGGGCTTATTGTTATAAAAACACAGTTGATGTAAACAAAAAAAGCCTCAAAGCATATAAACCAAAATGTATCCAGCCATTAAATGTGCATGGTGATGTTGTAAATGTTTTTTATTTTGTTTTGCACTTTGAATTATTTGACAGTGAATATTTCTTATACAGAAACTTATGTGTGTGTGCATACACATATATATGAGAGTATATATACAGAGACAGAAACAAAGAGACAGAGAATTTTTTATGTTGAAAAATAGAGAATTACTTAGGAAAAACAAGACATAAATGAGTCAGAAATAACAGTCTGTACCATTGTACAACTCAGAAGGAACTTCACACAGATTAGCAGGGTGTCCTAATGCAGGCCAGGAAGCTTTTAGAGCTCCATGATAGCAGGGAAAGAAATCAGGCCTTGCAGCTGGGGATGAGATAGGAGGGTATCTGTCTCCTGGGACAGGCCTTACATTCCAGCTCCTTCTGCTTCAACAGCCCCTAGTAACCTGTTATTTATTCTCCCTGACTCTCCAGTTGCTGTTGGAAGTGAAGGTGAGTAGATGGGAAAATTAAAGAAGAGGGAAGAGAATTAGGAAGCATGAGGACAGTGGTGTTAGGCAGGTCTGGCTTTATGGTTTACAACCTATACAATTGCACAGAATCTGACACTTAGAGGCATAAAACTTGGTTTAACTCAGCTGTCACTGTCTTAAAATTCCTTATAATTTTATCTTTGAAGTTGTGTTTTGTAGGTGAAGTCCACTGGGACAACGAAGCATACATGTGAGCAAAGAAGAGCCACAGATTCTTCAGTCTGCAGTCCTTAGAGATGCTCCAAGGCACAAAACTTCAGTAGACTCTTGTGTGGGAGTCCAGTAAGGCTCAGACTGAGTACAAGGTAAGTGTGTTGCACCTACAACTGAGTGATCACGGACATAGGGGAGGAAGAGAGACCAGGCTTTCCTTTCAAACCAAAACTTGCTTCAAACGCAGAAGGCAGTGATGCTGTAAGAAACACAAAGGGTCAAGGGTTCCTATCAGATGCTTTGTTACTCATGTTGCTTCTCTGTGTTATTTGATCCCGTATGCTGAAAATGATGACCCAGAAGGAGAGAAAAAGATAGGGCTACTGGTAATATTAATATGATCAGTAGATCTGTGCTAGCTTCCATTTTTCTTTACTCAGAACAACACTGAAGAAAAAACTCATGAAACATCATAAAAGCATCATGAAAAATCAAGACAGACCACTGAAAAAGGAAAAGCTTCCTATTTTAGTACATTTTTGTGTGCATAAGTCCGTGCTCAGTCACTAAGTCATGTCTGACTCTTTGCAACCCCATGGACTGAAACTCACCAGGCTCCTCGTCCAAGAGATTTCCCAGGCAAGAATACTGGAGTGGGTTGCCACTTCCTACTCCAGGGGATCTTCCCAACCCAGGGAACAAAAACCCAAGTCTCTTGCATTGGCAGGCAGATTCCCACTGAGCCACCTGGGAAGCCCTTTTAGTATATTTACCAGCACTTTCTTTCCTCCCTTTTGGACAAGAGGTCTTGCATTTTCCTCTAGCACTGGGTCCTGCAATTATGTTGCCAGTCCTGGTGATAGGAAAGAGAAGAGGGATGGGATAGGATGCTAAATTCTAAGTCCCAAAGGTCCTGGGGTAGAGTTTGATGTGCAGAGGATAGATGAAGATCAGAACTTGTGGAAGTGTCTTCTCTCCACTAAATATTTTTGGGAAATTTAGTATCTGTGGGGCTATGTTTGTCTTTTGTAATTTTTTTAAATCTTGTTCTGTTGTCATTTTGTTTTCTGTTTGATGCTTTTTTTCCAACTGATATGATTAGTCATATCAAACTGTTGGCATGCAAAATTCAAAAGTAACACTTGAGATTCTTGTCTAAACATGTGAGTAGGCTTATCAGAGATAAAATTTAATAACTACATACACAGGCTTCCAAATGACTGTGACTTTTATGAAATATGAGAGGGATTATTGTTGTCCTTTCCTTTGTTCTCCAAAAGGAAAGGACCATAGAACTTTTTAGATGGTAAAGTTTTATGATTTATGCCTTCTAAACACAAACAGTGAAAACTAGGAGTCTTAACCACTAGAGCACCAGGGAATTCTCTCTATAAATATTTTTTGAATGAGGAAGAATAGCAGACAAGAATAAAGGTACTTAGGCTCAGATTTTTCCAGAAGCTGAGAATCATAGGCATGCACATTGGCTTTTGACAGGCTTCACCCAAGTTTTGATGCCAGAGGTGTTTGCCTCTTAAGAATTGAGAGGCCACCAAGAGGGGTGATGCACAATGATGAAAGCACATATTGCAGAAATATAAAATATATAAATAAGCCTAAAGCTCAATGGATATTCAGTTGAGGAATTAATCTCATTTTTGCTCCATTGGGAGTGGTGACTTGAGAATCAGGAAGTCTCCATGAAAGGGGCTTCCCTGGTGGCTCAAAGGTAAAGAATCTGCCTGCCAATGCAGAAGACTCAGGAGATGCAGGTTCAATCCTTGGATGGGGAAGATCCCCTGGAGGCAGAAATGGCAACCCACTCCAGTATTCTTGCCCAGAAAATCCCATGCACAGAGGAGCCTGGAGGGCTACAGCCCATGAGGTCACAAACAGTCAGACAGGACTGAGCACACACACAAGCAAACACAGGCATGACCTTAAAGAAAACAAATTTTATTGGCAGCACAGGTGCTTCTCACCCCAAATTATTTTTGCTGTCCCTTGGAATATTTGGGCATCTGACAGATGTCAGCAGAACTAGTTTCTGATCTCTGATTCCCATGCTGAATAACTGAGAGTTCCAAAAAGCTTCTAAATCTCTCAGGGTCTTGATTTCCTCATCTATAAATTAAGCATTTGGAGAAGCAAGACTATAACAGTCAGACTGGATTAGATTGTGCTGTAATAGCTAACAACCCTGAACAGCCTTCAGGGGTTAGTAGGTTTTGTTCATGATATCATCCAAGCGGTGTTTGCTATATCATTCTCAAAGATACTTTCTCTCAAGGGGTCAACATATTCGCTGCCTCTATCTTGTCACTGTGCTATAAAATTCTTCTCTGGCTCCTGGAGAACTGGAAGCTGACTACATCTGATATTTGGTAAAGACGTTTTATTCCTGGTTGATGAAGTTATCCACTAAGTCAGCACAGTAAGTAATCCATTGGGCAGTGCAGTCTAGTGGTTAAAAGCACTGTCACTTACTCACCATGTGATTTGGACACATTATTCAACCTCTGTGTATTATTATAAGGATTAAATGACTTAATCAATGAAAATTCGTTTGGAATAATGCCAACAAACACAGAGTAAGTGCTCAGGTAACATGAGCAATTATTTACAGGAATTGAGCTGTTGCTATAAGAACTTCACAGTTTCACAGGACTCTAGACATCTATTGCAATTAAGTTAATTTAGCCCCAGAAGAATTTGAGAAAAATAGGTCTCAGAGCTAGGGGTTTCCATTAAACAAACATTGCTTTTCAAGTATCAACTCCAATTCAATCTTTCAAGTTACTAATAGAATGTCATGTAATTCCACAATGAAATGAGTTTATTACTATAGATAATGTGTTTGGTAATAAGACATCTTGAAGCAAAAACAGGTAATCAATGCACATTAACAACCACAGGGAACAAATAACAAGAAAGCCTTCACAACCTTAAGCTTTTTATAAATTTTATGTGTAAAAAAGCATCACCAGTTACAAGGCAAGAGTGAAATATGATTTTTAAATGGTAGATTTAATGGTAGGTTATAATGGTAGCATTATTTGTAAAGCAAAAGCCAGGAGAAAATATAAATGTCCATCAATAAGAACACTTTAAGTACATTATGGATTCATCTATATGAAATCTTAAGTACCTATTTTTCAGTGAGGTAACCCTTGTGCATTGTTGAAGGGACTGTAAATTGGTACAGCCACCATAGAAAACAGTATGGGATCCAACAATCCCACTGCTGGGAATAGATCCAAAGAAAATGAGAGCCCTAACGAGAAAAGATATCTGTGTCCCCATGCTCACAGCAGCATGATTTATAATCGCCAAGACACAGATGGGTAAATGGATAAAGAGGGTGTGGTGTGTATATACAATGGAATATTATTCAGCCAGGAAAAAAACACAAAGAAATCCTACCACTTTGCAACAATATGAAAGGGCTTTGAAGGTATTCTGCTAAGTGAAATAAGTTAAACAGAGAAAAACAAATACTGTATGATCTTACTCATATATGGAATCTAAAACAATAACCAAACTCATATAAAAAGAGATCAGACTTGAGGTTACCAGACAGAGTGTGGGGGAAAGGGGACTGGTGGAAGGTGGTCAAAAATACAAACTTCCAGTTATGAGATAAATAAGTAGTAGGGATGTCATGTACAATATGATGACTACAGCTGACACTATCGTATGATATACAGGAAAGATGTTAAAAGAATACATTCTAAGTGTCCTCTTCAGGAGGAGAAATGTTTTTTCTCTTTTCTTCTTTCTTTCCTTTTCAGTGTAGTTATATGAGAAGATGGATGTTAGCTGAACCTATAATATATGTAAATCAAATCATCATGCTTATAAACTACTATATATAAAATAGATAAACAATAAGGTCCAACTGTATAGCACAGGGAACTACATTCAATATCTTGCAATAAACCATAATGGAAAAGAATAGGCTTCCCTGGTGGCTCAGTTGGTAAAGAGTCTACCTGCAACACAGGTTCGATCCCTGGGTGGGGAAGATCCCCTGGAGAAGGAAATGGTGACCGACTCGAGTATTCTTGCCGGGAGAATTCCATGGACAGAGGAGACTGGCGGGCTACAGTCCATGGGGTCACAAAATCGAACACAACTGAGTGACTAACACTTTCACTTTGCTGTACATCAGAAACTAACACAACACTGTAAATCAAACATACTTCAATAAAAAATCATCAATATGTATGCCTTGAACTTATATCGTGACTATGGTTGATTATTTCTTAATAAAACTTGAAAAAAGTGGAAAAATGAATTAACTGCCCAATAGGCACTGATCCTCTGAACTGACAAACCCCCGTGTAGGCTGTTCTCCTTGCCTCTGTCTTTTGTTCTCTTGGCTGCTTCCTGGTGCATCATACTTTTCTCCTCCAAGCTTATTCTGCTCAAGGACCCTACTCTCAGCCTCTCCCAGGAACCTCTGAAGACAAGTCTGTGCTGCCAGCCACAAGCCTCTTTTTTAATTTCTAGCCGCCCTTCTTATAAAGCACCAAGCTCACTTCCAGAACTTTCCTCTCATCAAATTATATATAAAATAGTTAAACTATTGATTAAATGCTCAAATGAATGATGAAAGCTTCCACATGGAAGAACCAAGATGAAAGATTCCTTTTAACTCTATGACCTCCTCACTCCCAGAACACAGGATCCATAAAATAGATGGTAGAAAAATCAGACTCAACCATCACATTATTTTAAATAAATCTACAGTTTATGATGACACATAACAAAACCTTATTGTAGCAGAAAGAAACACTGCTTCTTTCCTGCATTATCTGTTTGTTATGGGGAACATGTCGATGCTTTTATGGATGATGCCATCAGGTAAAGTTATGTAGAGCAGCCTAGGGAGAGTTGCCAGAGAAGAGAGTTCAGTCTGAACAAAGGCACCTCTAGAGGAAAGAGCTGGCACATGCAGATTTCAAGTGTATATTTATCCAAATGTAAATGAGATGAATGCATCTCAATGTATGGGCATTTAATGCAAGTATATTCAACACTATGTCCTTGAGTATAAGAAAAAGAGGACCCATGACCGAAAGAGATGAAAGAATTCCTGCATTTGTGCTGTTTCTCTCCTTCAACCTAGAGTTCAGCCTCCACTACCACAGCCAAGTGCAAAATGAAGCAAAAGAATTTCAATTTTAGGCTTCAAGCTTCCCATGGCTCGGTATTCTGGTGAGCTGAGAGGCTCTCGTGGCTATTTTGAGCTTATATATTTATCCTTTGTGGGATGAACTGCTTATGAAAATAAATATCTGGCAATAGCCATGATATTTAGTCAAAAATGTCCTAAAACCCCAGGTTTATAGGTCAGATATTATAAAAAGAGATCACTATCCAGGACTTCTAAGTGTCAGAAAATGACATTCCTTGCAAAGAAGAAGGTATCTGAGCAGTCAAAGGAAACACACACACACATAACACACATATACACATTTATTTTCACAATGACAGGTTCAGAGATAGAATGAAGCTTAGTTAGGAAAAAAGACAAGCCAGATCATAAGAAGAAGAAGAAAGTCCCACCTACCTGGTTACTGCTCGGGTGCAGATGGTAACGAGGAAACAGCCAGCCACGATCATCCAGCCCCAGCCTCCATCAGGAGGGGAGGTAGACCGAGCTCTATTGACTTTTGCCATGCTTTCAATTCCTTTTTCTTCTTTTCCAAGTTACTCCAACAGCCCAGTTATGATCTTGAAAAGTTTTGCTGTCCAATGACTTCCCTGTTGGCATTCAAGATTGGCATAGAGTGCTACCTGGCACATGGGTTACTGGCCATCTAAAATAAAAAATCAGGACATATCTGCATTTCATTGCAATATCCAAAGATAGTTTTTCACTTGCTGAAAATGATTATTACCTTGCTCTTAAATATGAGTATTTGTGACTATGAAAACTAGACTGCAGCAAAGACCATTAGTTGTTCTTGGAACCCATCCCTCATCTTCTTTTTAATAACAGATCATCTTAACTTCCAAGTCAAATCTAGGATAGCTGTTTAAACTATTTTCCATACCTTGAAGGTAGATGTGGCAATGTGGTTTAGTTAGACTAAAGGGATATGAGCAAAATAATACATGCCACTTCTGGTTGCTCAGCTCAAAGGCAAAGGATGTCTCAAGACACGCACCACTTCTTTTCCACAGACTGGAACATGGATGAGGAGATGAGACAGCTCCAACCATACATGCCTGGACATTGCCCTAGGGGCTGGCAGAGCTTCAGGACAGGATGAGCCTGGGTTCTCAAATGACTCTGTGGGGAAGAGGTGCCTCTCCCACTCTGGGTTTCACCTACTCACTATTATGCCAAAGGTAAATATGCTTCAGCTGTATTTGTGCTGTGCTGTGCTAAGTGGCTTCCGTTGTGTTGACTCTCTGCTACCCTATGGACTGTAGCCCACCAGGTTCCTCTGTCCATGGGATTCTCCAGGCGAGAATACTGAGTGGGTTACCATGCCGGCTCTCTATGCTGGAGTCCTTCAACAGCTTAAGCTATGTCTTAATTATTATACTGAATGATTCTGACAGTAACTGCTTTGGCATTTCTGACCAAGAATGCTATAATTCTTAGATGGAAAAAACTGAAATGAGAATGAAAAATAATGAAACATAATAGAAAGCCCAGAAACTAGTTCATAATAATTCAATAAAACTAAATAAGGTAGCAAAGAGGGATGGATGGGAAAAAAGGGTTATTTACTACATCCTGTTATAACTCTCCATTTAATTTTTGACTTTCTAGATAGATCAGAATTACATGGGAAAAAAAGTAATTTAAAATCTAGGTGAAAATACAGGCAAACATTTATCTGATCTTTGGGTGGGAAAAGGACTCCCTGAGATGTAAAGTGATATCAACAAATTAAGGGAAACTTTTGTTGATTTGTCAACATTTATATACATCAAAACATGTAACAAATACAACCAAAAGGTAAACCATAGACTTGGGTGGGGGAGGAAATTAGCAATGCACAATTCAAAGAAATAATATCTGCAACATTGATTCATTAATGCAAATACTGACACTTATGGAGTATCTAATAAATGTTAGGCATTATTCTGGACATCAAAGATTCGGTGGCGCGCAAGGCACACACACATCTCCTTGGGGACCTTCTAAGCCATACCGATGGTCTCACCTCCTGCTGCTCTGTTCTTTGTGTAATCCCTTCCCTTGCATTTTGGCAGGACCTACGATTCCCTTCTCACCAGAATATGGCACATGTGATGGGACAGGGGTGATCAGTTCATGCTGAGTGAGACTCAGACCTGGGCTTCCCTGATGGCTCAGTAGTCAAGAATCTGCCTGCCAATGCAGAAGATGCAGGCTCAATCAATGGTCTGGGAAGATTCCACATGCCACAGAACCACTAAGCCCATGAGCCACAACTACTGAAGCCCTTGAGCCGTAGAGCCCATGCTCTGCAACAAAGATCACTGCAACGCAGATAGAGAGTAGCCCCCACCCGCCACGACTAGAGAGAAGCCCATGCAGCAACGAAGACCCAGCAGAGTCATAAAGAAATCAATAAATATTTTTAAAAATATATGTTATATCTAATAGTTGTTTTTTTTTTTTAAAGAAGCCTCACTCTTGGCTAGCTGACTTGCTTGCTCTTTCATGGGCCTTAAAAAAGGAAGCTGCCATGTTACATGCTGCCACGGGGAGGGCCACGTGGCAGGGAACCATAGACAGCCTATGGCATCTGAGGACAGCCCCCAAAAGCTAAAGTGACAGCAAAAAGCTAAAGCTCTTTGTCCTACAACAGAAAGGAAATGAATTCTGCCACCATGCCAAGTGAGCTTGGAAGCAGATTTTCCCCTTGTTGAGCCTGCAGTAGAGAACACAGTCGGGCTGACACTCTGTAGCCTTGGGAGACCCTGAGCCATGCATCCAGCTAAGTTAGGCCTGGGTTTGGTCTCATAAGAACTGTGAGATCAGCTGCAGGTCCAGTAAGCTTCTGAATTAGAGTTAAGCATGAATTCTTTATGTGACTAAATAAAAGAGTTTTAACAGGTGATTTTTCCATTGGATTGAGCCAATCACCAATTTTGGGTAGAATTTTATTATGATCAACAGAAGAAATTTTTTAAGTAATATTAATTATATGAAACATTATGTCAAGTATGGCCAAGCATGTATTGTTTGGTGAACACAGACCATGCACCACCTGATAAATTATAGACAAACCAATTTAAATTTTAATTTTACTTTAAAATCACGACTTTCTCAAGAAAATGGCACACAGTAAAATCTTGCAAGCATGCCTCTTTGAAGCTATGGGAACAAATTGGCAGTCTTTGAGTACAAAGAGCAAACGCAGAACAAAGATAGGGAGCCCAAGACAAGAGTGACTCCACGTAGATAGACCTCTTAAATTTGCTCGTTTTCAAGACTCAGAAGGGCCCCTTCTTCCTCTTAATTAGCCATCCTGTGAATGTGGGGAGACAGACAAAGGAGATGGAGTGAACGGCTGGAGAGGACAAATCTTCAGAAGTACTAGAAGAGCAGCATNAAGCCAACTTTTCACTCTCCTCTTTCACTTTCATCAAGAGGCTCTAGTTCTTCTTCACTTTCTGCCATAAGGGTGGTGTCATCTGTGTATCTGATGTTATTGATATTTCTCCCGGCAATCTTGATTCCAGCTTGTGCTTCATCCAGCCTGGCATTTCCCATGATGTACTCTGAATATAAGTTAAATAAGCAGGGTGACAATATACAGCCTTGACGTACTCCTTTCCTGACTTAGAAATCATGTTCAACTGTTTGTGACCCCATGGACTGTAGCCTGCCAGGTTCCTCTGTCCATGGAATTCTCCAGGTAAGAATACTGGAGTGGGTAGTCACGCTCTTCTCCATGGGATCTTCCCCACCCAGGGATGGAACCCAGGTCTCCTGCATTGCAGGTGGATTCTTTACCATCTGAGCCATCTGGAAAGCCCCGGGCTGGGGACAGAGTCATAGCCAAAACCCTGGGCTAAGCAAAAACAGCATGGAGGTAGCTGTTCAGACCATTTCGATAGGCCACGCTNGGGCTAAGCAAAAACAGCATGGAGGTAGCTGTTCAGACCATTTCGATAGGCCACGCTGCTATGATGTATGGTTATAGGCAGTATCTCATTTAACTTTTACGATAACCATAGGTGTATGTTTTAGTTGCTCAGTCATGTCCCCACTCTTTGCAACCCTATGGACTATAGCCTGCCGGGCTCCTCTGTTCATGGAATTCTCCAGGCAAGAATACTGTTAGGGTACCTATGCCCTTCTCCATGGGATCTTCCCCACACAGGGATCGAATCCAGGTCTCCTTCATTGCAGGCAGATTCCTTACCATCTGAGCCACCAGGAAAGCCCACAATAACCACAGATGGTAGGCATTACTATCCCTATTTTAAATATATAGCAGCTCAGACTAGAGAGAGTCAGTAATTTCCCTAACTATTATTAACACTATCAAGCAGCAAAAATGGAATATGAATCAGTCTTTTCCTAACAACGCCTGACACTGTTTCCACCAACTTTCATCAACCCTTGATATAAATTCATATACACTTTTATTTAATCAAATGCATGTAATTCTTGCTGAAGGCACACCAGTAGGATGACATTAATTACAGCCTGATGCAGCTAGAGATACAGCTCTTTAAATGGTACCATTGGCATTCCCCTGACATGCCTAAGGTCACTGACTTAATCAGCCAGGGAACTCTCCAATGGGATGATATTTGGAGATGGGGACCTTTGGGAAATGATTAGGTCATGAGGGCCCTGCTATTACAGAATGGGATTAGTGCCCTCTTAAAAGAGACCCCAAAGAGCTCTTTTGTCCCTTCTGCCATATGATGTCACAGTAGAAACATGACCCAGGAAGAGGGTTCTCACCAGACCTTGAATATGCCAGCTCCTTGCTCTTGGAATTTCCAGCCTGCAGAACTATGAGAACTAACAATTTGTTGTTTAGGCAACCCAGTCTGTGATATTTTTGTTATAGCAGCTGTATCAATTAAGAAACCTAAAGCTCCAGATGCACAAACTGCCTTGAAAAACTTAGAGCACTGAAGATGTTGGTCTGGCATTCAACTGTGACAGCCGTCGGCTGGAGTCAAGAATGGCACTGCTCCTTTGGATAAGGCCTGTGCATCCCCCTCCAGACTCCCCTGACCTCCTGTACTGCCCAATCTCTGTGGTGTTTCACTCATGTACAACACCTACTGGGTCCCTGGAGGCAATAAGATCTTCCTCTTCTGCTGGTTCTGTGTTGCTATAAATCAAAGTTTCTTGAACAGCCACATCTGAGTCATGTTTGTGGCAGGCTTTATGTCTAGCTCTCTGGCACTTTCAATAGGACTAGCACTCAAGATTCTACCAACACTTGCCGACAAATGCACAGAATGTAATAACTCACAAATTGGACACAATTAGGTGTCATGAAACGACAGAATCAGTTGTACAAGTGAAAAAGCTAGAGCTTAGAAACGTCTGCCTTGGTAATCCTAGCCTCTTCCTAGGGTTTTCCATTAAAATAGTCCCCAAGGTTAAATTGTCTTCCAATGTAAGAGTATGGATCCATCTACCCATAAATGGCCTGTGTGAGACATTTGTGCTGCCCCGCATAGTTGAAACATTTTGAGACAGGCAGTGCGATGCAATAGCTCTTTGGAAAGCAACACAGTGCAACAGATCAAGAGTTAGAAAGTTATTCATATTCTTTGAAGAGTAATCTCAGTTCTGGGAAGTTAGCCTAAGAAAACAACTCAAGAGAAGCTAAACACTATG